TCCGTTTTGAGAGCAGGGCATCAGTGAACATAGTGCTGTCCTTGTTTGCTTGAAAGCACAGAAAGAAAGCTAGATCTTAAGGTTAGGGTTTAGGGCACAGGGTATCCGGTATTTCGCTAGGGCTGAGGGCTCAGGGGCTTGGGGTATGGGTTTGGGGTTCTTATGGGGGTGCTTTTCGTTTTTCGCGAAAACTGCGAGACAGGAGCCGCCACAGTGTCTCTTCGCTTGGCATCGGCAAAAGAAGGCCGGGGTGGTGGGCCACGACGTTGGTGAAGCTACAAGTTCTTCGCAGGAGCTGATGTTTTGCAATCCTAAATCAGAATCGTAGGACCCGGAAAGCACATTTTCATTTGCCCGACACACGATGCAGGAAAAGAGGCTTGATCGTGCTGCAATTCTGAAGCATTATCGAGCTCACGGCCCAAGGGCGACTTATCTGGCTTCCAGCTGCGATGTGACGCTGTCGACGGGCAAAAAGGCCAAGCTTGTCTACGTGCTTCCGAAGTACAAGTTGCACCTCGCAACAGACCGACAAGCCGACATGCTTGCAGCTATGCGTCTGGCCCTGGCGACATCCGAGACAGAGGTCCTTCGGCTCTCTACAGGGCAGACAGTCGCCACAGTCGGCCATGTTTTGTTTTTTCTGTGTGCATGTGAAGCTCCAAACATAAACCGTCGGCAGGTCCGAACGGCCTGCAGTCATGAGAAGACGGGCACCTACGATGTTTTCAGGCACATGTATCTCCGCCAGACATTTACGGCTGTATTCGTGACCGAGCAGGGGTCGGTGGTGGACACACATGTGGATTACGTGCGCTGCGGCGGCTATACGGAACACTCTTTGTTCGTAGGCGGCCTCGTTAGCAAGGACGGCTTGACGCCTGTGCCGCAGGGACCAGAACACTCCCGGCCGAGCAAGAAAAGGAGGACGGGCTCCAAGGCCTGGTCTGGACCTGAAACCTTGAATCCTATGTGTGGGTAGCTGCTTCCTGCCAGGCTAAGCGGTCCGAAGCAACGAAACGGATGCTCGCGCCGCCGGAGGACACATCTTGCGCGAATGTTCCTAGAGTTATGTGCGTGTGGCGGGTCTTGCAACTTGTGGAATAAAGGCATTAAAGATTGCAAGGCACTGCAGCTATAAATTATTGAAACCTTTCACTCCTACATCCGGACATGTGCCTGTGCCAGGACACAAAGAAAGAAGAGCCAGCCCCGACTGACAGCATGATGCCATCAGGTGCCGAGCAGTATTTGCCCGGCTTGGCTGCGGATGCGAGCAAGGCGGCGTTCCTCCACTTCGCCGGTGAAAAGCACGCAGACGACGACCTCTGCTTGGCTGTGAATGTCAGAGGGGCCCGATGCAGACGCAGACGGAGCCATGGCAATTTCTGCAAGCAACATGCTGACAGTGCGGCCAGCGAGGAGAAGGGCAAAGCGTTCTTTGGGGAAGTCGAAGACCATTTTGCCCGGGCTGCGGCTGCATTCGAAAGACAGCAGGCGGCACCCTTGTGGCCTTAAATATGTTTCCGTTCGTAGCAGAGGCCATACTTCCAGGGAGCTTGTTTTCGAATCTCATCTGATGTCCAAGCGATGCAGCCTGCACCCTCAGGTTGCTGAAGCAGTGGCCGTGTCTTTGCGTGATTCGAAAGAGATGGCAGAGAAGATGGCAAGGAGAACAACATCGCGTAACATCACCAGATTGTAGTCCCTGTGGTCCCTGCACGTTGTAGAGGGGCGGATAGAATGATTGAGTAAATATTGAACTGGCAAACACGGTAACACCAATATGTTCAGGAGCCGGCGAGTCATCCAGAACCGCTTGGACAAGTTGCAGCTTGATCGTGTGGAAACAGCAGCAGATGGATCCTGCCAATTCGTGGCCTTGACGCTGTCCGCAGACATTGCAATGGACGCTTTTGCGTTTCGAACGCAGGTGGTGGGGTACCTGCGAAGCACTGCCACCTTGTTCAAGAACGACGTCGACAAGTCATTCCCTTCATTCGAAGCTTATCTGGACTGCATGGCCAGACCCCAATCATGGGGTGATGACCTGACGCTGGCAGCCGCATCGCACCTGCTACTGCGCAGGATCCGTGTTGTTAGTGATCATGACCTTGAGGTGGAGCGGTTTTTCAGTCCGCCAGCCATTATCTCAAAAGAGATCTGGGGCAGCGACATAACCGTATGTCACCTCATGCAGAATCACTACGAAGCCACTCGCCCGAAGGGCAGGGGCGCGAAGAGGGAGCTGTGAGACCCGGCGCAAAACACAGATTGCAATCGGATCTAAGCCATTTCAGGGTTGTCCCGCCAAGACCAGCTTAAATCTGAAATCAAGCTGCTTGAGATGCTCGGGGTTTCTCGTCGAGGGGCTTGCTTTTGGAGTCAAGCTGTTCCTCTGAGACGCTTGCCCTCGACCCTGACCGCCAGCTTGCCTCCAGCTTCAAGTTTTTCTTGATTCTGAATATCAGCTAAACC